GGCTGTGTGCATGGAGGGGGGCTGGTGGGGTGGGACACGGGGCGGGGGGTGAGCCAGAGAGAAAAGGGGGGTGCGTGCGTGTGTGTGTATGCGTGTGTCCATGGAGAGGGGGGTAAACTAGGTGGTGCACACGTAAGGGGGTGTGTGGGGGGGTGTGGGGAGCATGCACAGGCGTGCGTCATGAGGGATGAGTTACGCGCATGTGTATATATACACATATGTGCAAGCGTGTTCAGGTGTGTGTACGTGTTAGAGGCTGGGCCTGTGGCTAACAGGGGGGGGGGTGGGTGTGTCGTGTGTGCATGTGTGTGCACGCATGTGTGTGAAGGGTGGGGGTGTCCATGCAGCGTGGCTCACCCCTGCGGCTCCCCATGCGGCAGGCTGCAGCACAGGAGTGGGGCCAGCCGTGGGGTCACCATGGGGCAGAGCATGGTGCCAGTATAGGGCAGGCTATGGGGCAGTCTGTGTGCCAGGCAGGAGTCAGGCTATGGAGCAGGGTCTGCCCTCTGCCAGGGGGTCCCAGCCCACTGCATGCTGCCCATTGCAGCTCCAGCACCCTCTAGCAGGAGGGAAACTGAGGCACAGACCTGACCCACTATGCTGCCTCCCCATGGCCCCCAGGGCCCCCTGCAGTACGGGGGAAGGTAAGGGGTGCCTCGCCCAGCACAGCCCCCCCCCCCTCTGCTAACCCATTGCCCCCATCTCTCCCCCCAGATTGACCAGGATGGGCTCACTCTGCCCGAACGGACCCTCTACCTGGGTCAGGACGAGGAGAGCGAGAAGGTGAGGGTGGAGGGGGCACACTGATGCCATGGGGATGCCAGAAGAGGGACCAGCACCCAGTATGGGGTGGCAGACAAGGCCACCCCACTGCCATCAGTGCTGCGGGCTGGGGTGCCTGCAGGGCAGTGCGGGGTGGCACTCAGCATCCCTTCCCTTGGCACAGATCCTGGCTGCCTACCGGGTGTTCATGGAGCGGCTGCTCACCCTCCTGGGGGCTGAGCACGTGGAACAGAAGGCCCAGGAGATCCTGCAGCTGGAGCAGCACCTTGCCAATGTGAGGGGGATGCCTGCCCTGGGCTTTGGGGTGCCCCTGCCCAGCCCTTGGGTAACACAGTTGCAGATCTTTGGGGACTTCCATGTCTGGTCCTAACAGACCTCAACCCAATCCCCTTGGGAACCTCCACCCCCAGACCTTGGGGACCCCCTGGCAGATCCTCGGGGACCCCCTGGCAGGTCCTCAGGGACCCCAGCCCCAACATCTGGAGAACCTCCAGTCCCAGCCCTCGGGACAACCACTCCAGCCCTTGGGGACTCCCATGTCCAGTCCTTGTGAACCCACTCCAGATCCCTTAGGACTCCATGCCCAGCTCTTGGAGACCTCCATCTGGGTCCTGGGGGACCCCCGTGCCCAGCCCTCAGGTACCCCAACTCCCTGGAGACCTCCATGACCAGCCCTCAGGGCCCCACTGGCAGCAGAGGGTTCTCAGGGCAGGGAGCCAACGGGGATGTGGGCCAGCTCTTGCCCTGGAGCTGTGCCCCATCCCTGTGCCACCCCCAAGGTGGGCAGTGGGATGGTGACAGCCATGCCCACTCCCTGCAGATCACAGTGTCTGAGTACGACGATGTGCGGAGGGATGTCAGCAGCATGTACCACAAAGTGACCCTGGGTGAGCTGCAGCGCATCACCCCCACGGTGAGTACCCACGGTGCCCATGCTGCCACCCCACACACCGCACCTACCCTATGCCCCATACTTTTCCCCGTCCTCCATACTTATCCCTGTCCTTCTGCTCCATATCCTAGTTGCCCCCCTGCCCCAGATAAGTCCACTTGAGGGTGATGAATCCACCCTGCACTTTTCTGGGTGGGAAGGGGTGGTGGGAGGCTGGAAAGCCTGGAGGGAATTCCCTCCAGGGTAGCATGGAGGGGGGGTCCCTGTGGCCCCCTGACAGTGCCCGTCCTGGCAGCTCAAGTGGAAGCGCTTGCTGGACCGCATCTTCCACGACAACTTCTCGGAGGAGGAGGAGGTGGTGCTGCTGGCCACTGACTACATGCACAAGGTGTCCGACCTCATCCGCGTGACACCCAGCAGGTGAGGGGGGACTGGCACCCCTTGTGCCCCCGGCACCTTCCCCAGCTTGGCAGGGGGTTCGCAATGGAGTGGGCACAGTGTGGCCGTGGCTGGTCCTCCCCATCACCCCCATCCTGGGGAGGCCAAGGCTGGGCAGGGGGACTCCTGGGAAAGCCGCGGGAGAGGGCACTGTCATGGGCCCCACAGCACCCTGGTTGTGCCCAGTCACCTGCAGAGACACCCTCCCACCCCCTCATGCTAGAGGTCACCAGACTCATCATACAGCAGGGACATGGTGCCAGCCCGTCCCCGGGCCCCCACATTGGATGACATGGTCATCCCCACTGCCTGCCTGGTTCCCAAGCAGGGGTGTCACCACCCCTGCACGTGCTCCCCACCCTCCCCATGTGCCTGGGGACATGCCCAGTGTGTGTGTGTGTGGGGGGGGCTGATCTTGCCCCCCCATCACCAGGATCCTTCACAATTACATGCTGTGGCGCATCGTGGTGGTGCTGAGCGAGCACCTCTCCACCCCCTTCCGCGATGCCATCCACGAGCTCTCCAAGGAGATGGAGGGCAATGAGAAGCAGCTTGAGCTGGGCAAGATCTGCCTGAGCCAGGCCAACAAGCACTTCGGCATGGCCCTGGGTGCCCTCTTTGTTGAGGAGCACTTCTCCTCTGCCAGCAAAGCCAAGGTAGGTGATGCTGCCCGTGGGCATGAAGCCACTGTGTCCCTCCTGTCCCCTTGCTGAGGTGCCTGCCACCACCTGGCACCCTCCTGAGGACTGGCTGGCAGGGTGATGGGTGGTGAGGATGCTGTGCCAGCGCCCGCGGTGACCTGCCATAGGTGCAGCAGCTGGTGGAGGACATCAAATACATCCTGGACCAGCGCCTGGATGAGCTGGACTGGATGGACGAGGAGACACGGAGAGCTGCCAGGGCCAAGGTAGTGGCCCCCAGTGTGGCCCCCTGCCCTTGCCTCTACCACTGCCTGGGGGCACAGGGGATGGGGGCCTGACCCTGCCGCTCGCTTTGCCCGCAGCTCCGGTACATGATGGTGATGATCCGGGACCCCGTGCTGAAGCCGGAGGCCATTGACAAGGAGTATGAGGTAAGGGGTGCCCCAGAGTCATGTGGGGATGTGGGCACACGGAGGGGCAAGGTTGTCCCCACATCTGCCTTGGAGTCTGCAAAGACCAGGATGGGGAGATGCCACCCCAAAACAAGCCACCTCCTGGTAGCTCATTGTGCCACCTGCATGGCCACAGCAACACAGACAGCGACATGCTGTCCCTGGGGTCTCAGATGATGTTCCCTTCCCCACATCGCATCCCTCCCAGAGCTCAATCCCTTCCTCTGCAAGGGTTGGGGGTGCGCCTAACCCTGCACGGCCCAGGGACCCCACGGAGGTGATGGATATGCACCCACACACATGGGCACACAGAACGGGCCACGAGGACTCACTCGTGCCACATCTAGCCCATGGCCACGACCCCACACCCTCAGTCCCCAAGGCTCACGGGGGTGGGAGTGTGCCCCAGCCCTCCTCCCCACACTCTTGGGGCTGGCACTTGGGGCTGGCATCCCCCTGATGTGGCCGTGCTCCCCCACCCCCCCGCCAGTTTGAGGTGGATGAGAAGACCTACTTCAAGAACATCCTCAACAGCATCGCCTTCAGCATCAGGCTCTCGGTGAAGAAGATTCGGCAGGAGGTGGACAAGTCTGCGTGGGTATCCCCTTGCCCTTGGTGGGGGGAGCATGGTGGGGGGGAGCAGCATGGCCCCACTGATGCCCCCTGTCCCCATGCCTGCCCTGGGGTGTAGGCAGGAGGGCACAGGGCAAGCCAGGAATCCCCCCCCTGTGCAAGGGGGTGGCATTTCCGTGTCCCCACAGCCTGGCACCGCTGTCTCTCCTTGCAGGTGGCTGCTGCCTCCCCAGGCGCTGAACGCCTACTACCTGCCCAACAAGAACCAGATGGGTGAGACACTGCCCGGCGCCCCCCGGGCTCCCCCCTCCCTGGGGCAGGGGGTGTGGGGAGGGCCCGAGGTGGGGGGCAGGGTGCCGGGACCCCTGGTGCCAGGTGATGCTGCGGGTGGGCATGGTATAGGGTGGCCCCACCAACTGGAATGTTCTCCTGTGTCCCCAGTGTTCCCCGCTGGCATCCTGCAGCCCACCCTCTACGACCCTGAGTTCCCGCAGTGAGTGTGGCACTGGGGCACGGGTGGGGGGTGCCAGGGCAGGAGATGGGGCTGGGGACAGCGGCATGGAGGGGGGGGGTGTGCCAGGGTAGGGGATGGAGGTGCCAGGTCGTGGGCTCACCACCATCCCTGCCAGCACCGTGCCCTCCACTCTCTCACCTCCGCTCCCCGCAACAGGTCTCTGAACTATGGTGGGATTGGCACCATCATCGGGCACGAGTTGACCCACGGCTACGATGACTGGGGTGAGTCACCCCCCACCCCGTGCCGGGGTGGGAGGTGGGTGAGTGAGGGGCAGCCAGGTTAAGGAGTGGGGGGGACGGACAGGATGCCTCGGTCCCTCGGGACTACCGGTGGTGGCGGTTGCCTCGGCAGGGGGACAGTATGACCGGCACGGGAACCTGGTGCACTGGTGGACAGAGCGGTCGTACAGCAAGTTCCTGAAGAAGGCGCAGTGTATTGTCAACCTCTATGACAACTTCACTGTCTACAATCAACGGGTGAGACCCCCCCCCATCCCCTTCACCCGCCGGGCAATGCCTGGGCACACACTGCCCTGTGGGGGGGTCCCCACTCCTCCGTGCCCACAGGACAGCATGGTTCTGCCCTGCTCAGTCCTGAGACCTGGCAACTCATCACACCTCAGGGCACTGGGTGGGGGGAAACTGAGGCGCAGCCTTGGTGCCTGGGTTGGGATGGGGGAATGCCTGGCTGGGAGCAGGGGGGGGGCATCTCTGCTCACTCCATGTCTCTCTCGGCAGGTGAATGGCAAACACACGCTGGGGGAGAACATCGCTGACATGGGGGGGCTCAAACTCGCCTACTACGTAAGTATGTCCCCCCACCCCGGGGTGTCACAGCCCCAGCAGGGTCACGGGGCAGTTGTTGATGCCATCTCCACTGGGGGGGGCAGGACACCCCCAGCCCCACTTTGCTCCCTGCAACGGGGAACGGGCCTGATCCAGCTTGCTGGTTGCTGGGGGAGCTCTGGGGGGGGCGCTCGGGACAGGTTTGGAGGGCACCCGGGCTGTGCTGAGGGCACCCCTCGTTCTCCAGGCCTACCAGAAGTGGGTGCGGGAGCACGGCCCCGAGCACCCCTTGCACCACCTGAAATACACCCACGATCAGCTCTTCTTCATCGCCTTCGCCCAGGTGAGCCCCTGCCCTCTCCACACCTGGCATGTACTGGGGCAGGGGGGTCACCCAGTATGGGGCCAGTGGCCCCGGGAGACGGGGCAAGAGCCATGCCAGAGCCGGTGCCCACAGCCAGGAGCCAGGCTTGGCTCCATCAGCAGGTCCTGGGCTCAGGGCACAGGGCTCACCCTTGCAAGGAGCACCCCGCACAGCCTGTGGCTCCTGAGGACCCTACAATAACAAATATGTGCCCCCGTCCACCCCATCACCTCCACAATAACAAATGCACATGACCCTGAACTCCTAGGAGACCCTACAATAACAAACATGCCCCTATGCTCTCCCAACCCATCCATACCCCATACGCAGTCTCCCAGGAGACCCTGCAATAACAACCACAGCCAGGGCATCGCTGCCCCAGTCCCCTGGCGGTAAGAGGGTCCGTGGTGCCCTTGGTGGGTACCAGGACCCCACAGAGACCTGGGGTGCCCCATTCAGCTCACCCATGGGAACCTTTTGACACCCCCCAGAACTGGTGCATCAAGCGGCGATCCCAGTCCATCTACCTGCAGGTGCTGACGGACAAGCACGCCCCGGAGCACTACAGGTACCCGTGAACCCCGAAACGGGGAGGCACGGCAGGTGCCAGCCTTTCCCACATCTGGCAGTGCCACGCAAAGTGCGGGGGGCACCAGCATGGCACCAGAAGGCATCCCTGGGGCAGGGGATGGGGTGCTGCTGGGGTGAGCAGGAGGCCTTTCCCACATCTGGCAGTGCCACGCAAAGTGCGGGGGGCACCAGCATGGCACCAGAAGGCATCCCTGGGGCAGGGGATGGGGTGCTGCTGGGGTGAGCAGGTGCCCCGAATGGGGTGTACGGGGAGGGGGTGGCAGGGGGTGCCCGGCTCTGAGTTGCTCCCCTCTCCCGGCAGGGTCCTGGGCAGCGTCTCGCAGTTTGAGGAGTTTGGACGGGTTTTCCACTGCCCCAAGAATTCGCCCATGAACCCGGCGCACAAGTGCTCGGTGTGGTGAGCCCCATCCCACCCCGGCAGGCTGGCACCCCCCCATCCCCGTCCCTGCCCGTGTGCCACCCCGTGCCCGCTTCCCCTCCTCCTCCCGACACCCCCTCCTACTCTCCAGGCAAAGGGGGCACCCCCAGGTGATGCAGGCGGTCACCACCCCAAAAACAGGCACCTGCCGGAGGGGTGGAGGCAGATGG